AAATTTTTTTTTTTTTTTTTTTTTTTTTTTTTTTAACTGCGGTCATTTTTTTTTTTTTTTAAATTTCTTTTGCTACGAAAAAAAAAAAAAATCAATAACATAATATTCGAGTGTCCGTGCGGCTAAATATACGTATATAGGCACGACGACGGCATCGTCTACGGCGTTTCGGTCGTGGACCGCAGGCCCGCGTCCGTTTTGAAAATATTTAAACGCTAGAAGAAACGTGTAAAAATTAAAACTTAAAAAATCGATCGCCGGATTTGTGTGCCGCCGCTATACGCGTATACACCGTGACGAAATTGACGGATTATCGTACGGCGCGTCGCGTTTTCGTGCGGTGTACCGTCTACAGACGATCGAGTGGCAATCGACCCGGGAGACGACGGGGGGGTAGCCGGAAGTGACGACCGTCGGGGATTCCCGAAAACCGTATGCAGAGTCATGAGGCTGTACACGGTGACGACGACCTCCTCGACGCGTCGGACGGCGCCAATACAACGTACGTTGCCGTTATGCGTTACAGCCAACGAGAAGCCGGCGGCTACATTTACGCACGTGCAACATGCGACGCGATCGCGTGTAGGCCAATGCAGGCGACCGTCAATCGAGAACCGAGCGGCCCTTTTTAATCGGTCTGTGTCATGCTGTCGTGGCGTACACGCGCGTAACACGACGACGAAATCGCCACTGAAACCGCGCGTTGGCGGCCGTCCACGCGCTACGCTCGCGGCCTATCAACGCGCGTCCGACCGTACGGAGTCGCCCGCGCCGTAACACACCTATATACGGTAATATTTAGCCACCGTGCGACGAGTATAATAATACGATAACGTCTTACACCTCGTTAATGTTTACATCATTATGATACATAATGTAGAGTGCATATTACGACGGTATAATACGAATTCGAAATGTTATTTAATCGTAACAATGTTAAGCGCGTATTATATTATATATGTAAAAAGCAAAAAAAAAACAAAAAAAAAAAAAAAAAACTATAGTATAATACCGTACATATAGATAAGTCGGCTGTAGAATTGACGATGTATAACTTATTATTACTTATATAACCATATTATAATAACACTAACTGAATAAGTACCTACATATAATATTGTATTATGTTATAAAATTGTTTAAATAAGCTCTAAAACGTGCTGTGTAAAATTATGTTGGTGCATATATTATTACTGGTATATAATAATAATAATAATAATATAGTATAATATTACAAAAATTATTATTATGTACTACGAGGGGGGGGGGAGGGGAAACAAATCAATATTATTTAATAAATTATTAGTCTAAATAATAATATTTAACTGAAAAAAAAAAAAACATATTGTAATCGTTTTATCTACATATACAAAAAAAAAAAAATTCTTAGTCGATTGTGACGCGTATATATTTTATGAAAAAAACTCTCCGTTACAATACAAATTATTTATATAACTGCAGTGGCTTGGTTAGGTGAAGAGTCAATGTAGAAAAAAAAAATTTCAAAATTAAATTGAAAATCGTGTGTTGCAAAAAAAAACGGATTTATTTCCAAAAATCTAACGTAAAGTCAATAATTGAAAGAGATCAGCGGATATTTGTGTTAATATATGCCATTTTTAACATATTGTTCAGTAACCGTATGCTAACAAAAACTCAAACTATGTAATGCGTACACGTTAATCAATATTTCCATAAATACGTGTATATTTGTTCCGAAATACGTTACACACGTCTCTGAAACACACCAGAAATTAACGAAATGACACCAGTTTCAGAAGAAAAGAAAAAAACATAAAACGAACGTTATTTAACACTTTTATCCGTTGATCGATTCAATTATTGTAGTACTAATTTTTTTTTGTTTTTTACATTGGCCTCGCTTGAACCCAGCCACAGATATATAATAATATATTTGTATGCGTGAAAAATCTCTTTTTTGTGCGTGTCCTTATAGTGTAGGAACCATAGTGTAAAGCCAGTGTAGGTATATTGTAAATAGGTGAACACATTACTGTATTTATAATACGTTACGCGTGAACGTGTAATGTATTGTGTATATTTGAATTTATTTATAATTATCGTTGTAAACTAATAAAAAAAAAAAAATACGCTCAGAATCTAAAAACAATCTCGTAATTAAACACTTATGATAAAAAAAAAAAACAAACCCTTTTTTTTTTATAAATCGATTAAAACAAAAATTCGTCGAAAAACATATAATAACACGCAGCATCAATATTGTTCATAAAACAAATACAGGACCAAAACTCGTTATTATTATTTTGTTTTTTTTTTTAATTTTTTCTAGCTTTCTCTTCGCGCCATCATAACATTATAATTATTTTATAATCCTTAATAATAAACTCGACGACGCTTAGTTGCATTCTTAATGACACTATACTTAAATTTACGATTCATTAAGACCAAATTAATTATAATAATAATAATAAATAATATATTATGTATTGTTGGTTTCGTCTATGCATAAATATACATAAATATAATAAATAATATAACAATGTTATAACGTATGATAAGTAATACAAATTTCTCGTTTATCGTTGTATTTTTTTTTTTTTCAATTTTTTTTTTCGTCTGAAAAACGAACACGTGTGTTTCAGTGTCCATAAGTAAGCTAATATTTAGCACGTAATATATTAATAATAATATTAATATACGGTAAATATTATTAATTTATGTAATATATATTTATCGACAAACAAACAAACAAACAAAAAAAAAAAAAAACACTGCTCAAAATTTTCGTTTTTAATTTATTTAATTTCGTTGTTTTTTTTTTTTTTGTAAATTGGACGGATTGCCGATGAATAATATAACCGTATATGAAATAAATTTAAAAGTATACTTACATATATAAATAAACATTCCTATACGAATAATATAGTCATAGAAAATAATACGGTAAAAGAAATCACCTCATCTAGCTAAATTATTCAGACTATCAGAATTATTTAACTGCCTGCCGCAGCCCTTATAATATTTTAATGACAAGTCGTTACCTGTATAAGTAAATAATAATAAATCACGTTATCTGACATCACTTTGTTTTTTTCACCGTCCGTCCAATTTTTTTTTTTACAATAATAATAATAATATGTTACGTTGTATAGATTATTTATTAGTGTAAACAATAAAATAAAAAAAAAAAAAAAAAAAAAATGTGTGCTTAAGCAAAATTGATAATATATTATAGGTATGACGTATTATATAGATAAATAGATAGATAAATAGGTACCTAACCTATAACATTATTATTATTGATAAATATTGTCATTGTATGACGAAAATAAAAATAAAAATATTAATAAAAATCGAAACATACCCCATTACACGTTACGTACACAATTTAACTGCATATACCTTTATAAGATAATATAATAAATAAATAATATGCAATAATATTATATTATTTATTTATGTATAATAATTTATTGGAGTAGGTATTTTACGTATGTAATTATAATTGTAAAAAAAAATAATATGAACACTATAACGACACGTTATACAGACAAAAATCAAAACTTATATAATTATTGCGATGATGACACATAATATAATGTAATCAAAAACTCTAGAAAAAAAAAAATATGTCATGTAATGATAATTATCATTTATTATATTGTTAATGACTTTCCTTTTTAGAATGATGCAAAATCTTCATACAAAAAAAAAAAAAAAGTTACAATTAATTAATATTATTAAACTTAAAAATAATAATTAATAATGTATTATTTTTACGTTTGTTGTGTACGAGACTAATGGCCAAAGCGTGTTTTTAGTTATGTTTTTTTACAGTCAATATAAAAATAATAATATGTTAGGTATCATATTATAATACATAATATACAATTATATATAATTAATTAATTTATTATTATTATGTTGGTTACAATTAATATTAATATTTATATTATTATTATATACATTATATTATGTATTATTATCATCATTATGAAAATAAACTAAATAGGAATTATTAAAAAAAAAAAAAAAAAAAAAAAAAAATGTTTGTGTCATTTTATTTAACATATTATCATTGTATTAATATATCATCGTCATTCAACTATTCAAATTGATTCGCAATATACACATTGGTAATTTTATCATATTTTATTAGGTTTATGACGATGCCTGGATATATTCTGGGAAAGTGAAAAATTTCCAACTTACAAATAGTTAAAAATATATGTTGTGAATATCATAGCGCGTTTTATTATTATATATTGATATATTCAACTAAAAACAATTCGCTTACCATATTACACAGAATTTGGGGCCGTCTAGAATACCTATAGGTACGGTTTGCTAGTCAGTCTTTGTACATTATACAAATACAAGAAATAAGCTATGTAAGTATTAGTCAACGATAACCATATACTATAATAAACATAATAATAAAATAAGTATACAATAATATTTTTACCCAATATCAAATTATGTGTAAGGTATCAAATAAGTCGGTCGATTGGAATATATAATATTGATAAAAAAAAAAAAAAACACATTTTTAATCAAATTGGTTGTGCCAGCAAATCTAACATTCAAATCATTGAACGTTGTCAAAATATTGCCCTTCGGACCATTGTCGCAGCATACCGGATCGACAGGAATGACGTCATACATCGTGATCTCAAGATACCATTCATCCAGGACGAAATCAGTAAGTTCGCTAACAAACATGTAAATAGACTAGAGTTGCACACCAATGCAGCTGCAAAACAACTGCTTGATAGCTCACTAGACATCAGGCGCCTCAAACGCTTGAAGCTCTACGACTTAGTTTAAGGAATTTAGGCTAACGAAAGGGTAAATCTCATTGGAGAATCAACCCCAAACATGTTTAAGTATACTATGTATATTATATTATGTATAATTTTTACTACTTTATACTCATTTAATTGTATTTATAATGACTACTTGTCGTTTAAATAAAGATGCTGAAAGGCAGTTTGAAAAAAAAAAAAATATTTTGTGTTCGATTTTTTATTTTGGCTATTTTAAAGGTGAACCTCCGCGGTCGTCAGTTCCTCGGCTATTGTGTAATATAATAATATAATCCATTAAACATAGAGGAAAAGCTGTTTGGGATTTCAATAATAATAAATTATATTATTTATGATGTTTGCTATAATTTTTGTTAAGCTCGAAAACGTTTTATTCTAGAAATGTTTTATATTTTAGTAAAATAGTATGCCATTAGCGGCATGATAAAATTACATACGGTTGAAAATGTCAGGAGGGGAAATGGCCTCTTTTTGCCACCTCTGTGGGTGCCCTTGCTAGTTTGATATTTCCGATTGACCAATTATATTTTAGTGTTTTACAAGACACTCCTTTGTTCGTACCTATACAGTATTAATTAAACGCCAATTTTACGATTACGAAAGAAAAGTTTGTATAGATCGATGACTTTATGGATATTTCAGTTTCATTGCGAAGAGTAGTTATGCTACATTCTATGTTAAATTAATAATGGTTTAATAAGTATCCATATTTTAATAATATTTGCTAAATAGTAGCATAAATCAACAAGGATCAAAATAGGTTTAAATGTTTGATTTTGATTTTTTTACCTATACCCCATTTGTTTTACAAAGTTGAGGAAACGGTAGCCAAAATCTTAAACCTCTATACAAAATAAGTGTAAACACAATACATACGAGTAGACAAAATTTATTTTTACTGCGATAAATTGGCGATAAGCTTGTAAAATAGATTTTAATTCCTTCGATTGAAATAATGTTTGAACATAGCAAACCAATAAAAATGTTTGTTGTGTTATTAGAATCAAAAGAAAAATATCGATAATCCTTCATTCCTCCGGTGGTATTCAGCTTTGGTTAAATTGCACGGGATACAGCTAATATTTTATTATCGTGTTTATCCTATACAAGTCACGGTACATAAAAGTGATTGCGTATAGGGAGAGGAAACGATTTTGAGGAGTGAATCTTAGTATTAAAACTTTAACTGCAGTTGTTTGTTCTACCGGTTTTCGTTCTTTTTCGGTTTATATTTGCACGGAATTACTGCACTACATCGAAATACTATATCGATATTACTATGCCGAGAAAGTCAACAATTTACTAACAACTTTTTAATGACTAAATATATTAATTTATATACAATAATTATTTCCAAATAAAATATCTAGTTATACAATACTACAATACAGGGGTAATTTTATTTAGTTGCGGCGTTTAAAACTAGATTTCAATCATATTTGTATGCAATACAAATTCAACGTGCTGTCAAATATTACAATAACTGAGTGCGGCCAAATGGATTTTTTCAAAGAGTTTATTTCGAGAACACTTATACAGTATCAAAGTTATACCCCAAGAAAGAGGGGTTTATGTAGACTTTTGGTATTTTGTTCATAATTTTGTTTAATTTAATTATGTTTATATAGCCTACCATTGTATTCGTTTACGTATAAATGTATGTAATTTGAAAAATAGATTTTTTTTTTACAAAATATTATACAAAATTGACTTCAGATCATATAAAGTGATCAACGATGTATAATATACATATAATACACTGGATTGGCAACTCCCATGTTACATTTATACGTATAAGCATAAAGTATATGAGGTTTCAGGTTTATAAGCTTCAAACCGCTACACAGCCATTTAATTCGAGGTTCATGATCGCATCGTATTTTTATTATATTATGATATCTTACTGTTGAATCTGTGTTTTTACTGTTTTTTTTTTTTTTTTTACCATGATGATAATTTAAATCACAATCGTTAATAATATTACACAAATAAAACAGTTAGTTATCACAATATACAAGTGGATAATGATGTTCTCGAATTGAATGGTAGGTTGAAACGTCTTATCGCCATCGTCAGTTGGGAACCAAGTTTATTATCCATAATATATATGTATATGTATACTGTATAGTATAAAGATAAAAATAATGATACAACATATAGAGCAACTCTCGTAAATCAAGGACGGTAATTTTCGAAACTGCGATCACGGATGATACACAAAATATACGTAACGTTCCTATTTTGATAGTGTAAATATTATAATGGCCATTTTATTATTATCGGTGGCCATTTTTGATCGTATTGTTTTTAACATTCGTAGTTTTTGAGTATTTTCGGATTCAGTACAACGTCGCAGTAAAATAATATAAATGCTGCGTTTAACGCGTCGAAGTTCCCCTATTTGTATCTTTATAGTACTGTGATGGTAGTATGTACAATAGCAAGATCCAATCAAAACCGCTTCCGTTTAATCCGTGAAGCTGGACGTCCATTACGACGCAAATAAAATTATATATAATTGGTGTAATTGTCCGATGATAATGGTGCAATATAGCGTTTTAACTCTGGCACATGTAAAACACACTAGACTTATACCGTATTACCGGTGGGCATATTTAGACGTTCGATATTTTACACCACGGAAATATGCCTTTTCGGGTATATTATTTTTCGATCACACCGGAAAAATACCGATTCGCAATAATGTGTCCGCACTGTCCGAACATTATTGCCGCGGAAATAAATATTTTACTATTCCAACGTAAGACGTATTTTTGAATTTATTTGCTGCGGTTAATATTTCAGGTGTTATTTATCACACGAGACGAAAGTTTCAAACTGTGTTTCTGGTATGTGTAATATATGTGCTATATATATATATATATGTATATAGTTAAAGATTTATGTATTTTATTACATATTTTTGAATAAAAGTCACGTTCCGCAGGAATAATGCGAAATATATTATATATAAACATAATATTTTATTCGAATTTAATGTATTATATATTTTGTATGCAAAGAAAAAAATTGGAAATTATGTATCATGGATTTTGCGAATAAATGTTATATACAGGGTATCCCACCGTGTTCGACGGATTTTTCTAGTGCTATTAATATTAAACTTATTTCTATTTTATTTTTTTTTATCAATCGGTCTGTCTTCTAGGGGGACATCAAATTGAAAAAAAAAAAAAAAAATCGAAACAAATTTACAAACACGGTAGGACACACTGTGTTATACATTACTATTTTATTATTTTATATTCTTCATCACTTCTGGTTAAAATATAGATGAAAAACAAAATTAATTAAAATTTTAATTTTAACACTTCTTTGTTGAATTGCTTATCCCACCGAAATTATTAAAGAATATTATACAACATAGTCATTAGCTGAGGATGTGGGTTTTATTATTAATTATATAGTTTGTATAAAAAAGTTATAATTATTACAAAAAAAAAAATAAATACCCGATCGTTAGTAAAAATTTTTTTTTACAATTATTATAAATGTGCTAGTACAACACCTTGTAGTCGTCCTAAATCTTTAATATTGTAGCGGTTAAGCACGTCCATATTATCATAAATCCGCCAGCTGTACACTAGTAATTAAAAAAAAAATACTAATATCCATCAATCATGTTATACATAGGTACTTGAATATTTTAGGTTTGGTACGGTAGCGCTAATATTATGTAGGTTCTTTTTTTTTTTTTTATTACTTTTAAAAGCGGTTTTTTTTATTTAACGCAAAAAACTGAGTCAGCCATCCATATTATATGCCACTGAAGGGTGTGTTTAATTATCTGTCGGCTATTCGACTACGTACATTCGACAAGAAACATGATTCAATCATTAACATCAGAGGTAGTTAATGGTAACGAATTTTGCCAAGTTGTTGAATTGGGGAGATCGAGTTATACATTTTCTTTTAACGAAGAATAGGATAAACATATTATTATAACATTATAGTATTAATAACATATTATTCGATAAATGGTAATATTTATAACAGTATCTTACTGTTTTTAATTTGTGTTTTTAGAATTCAGTTTAAAAATAATCTTAAAGTTCTGACATTTTTACGAGATACTTATATTAGCCTTGTATGAATGTCTTAAATATTTACATTTTTAAGCTACTTATTTTCATTTGACTTTTTTTTTGTGTTTTGTTTTTAGTTATTGATTGGTTTTACGTGAATAAAATTATTTTGACCGAATAAAAATCCTTGGAAATTTAACACGAGGTTCATTATAGATTTTAATTAGTATTCAAAAAAAAAAAACAAATTAAGTGTAATATAGTGTTGTTCTTTTTAATCAGTTTAAATTTCAGCGAAAATCGTAAATATGATAGCATTTCAAAACATGAATAACCAAATATCGATCAGAAATGTATTTTCTAAAAAATAATTTACCGTTGCTTACAGATAGAAATTAAATAACTTTATGTTTAGGTTTAACTTGTGAATTCAAATTTATCATACATTTTTTTATCGGCATTTCGATTTCAAATTTGTATACAATTGCAGGTCAAAGACAGGAACAATTTATTAATTTATTTACTATGGCGTTACAAATTAATACAATTATCAATTTGAATACAACGAAACACACCATGTTAAACCGAATTCCGGAATAGAATTATTTTTTCGTTTGCAATGATTTATCTTCTGTTTAACTATGTAGTGTGTTAAAAAAAAAAAAAATCACCTATTATATTTAGATTAAAGTTTTCTTGGATTTAGTCTTAATAATATTATTATTAACGAACAAATATTATTTTTTGTTTGAATAATTTGCAAGGAAAATAATCGGTTCTACTATAAATAATTTACCTACGCATAATATTATAAAGCTTTTTCGAAAGTTATTCAAGTCAATTTATATTACTAAATTGATTTACTTTTTTTTACATAATATTGTTTACATACACACAAACACCGAGTATTATACATTAATTCAATACGATTCCAATTGCAAAAATAATATTATTTTCATTAACGAATAATGCGTATACATTATATAGCTAGGATAGAAAAATGAAAACAAAATTAAGTTTGAAAAGAACGAAGAAAATAATAATGAAACAGTATACTATATATTGTATACAGCCACGTTTAATAAGATTACAAAGACACAGCTTTATAATATTATTGTGAACGTCGGGGTGGCGGGTTTTTCGAAGAAAGATAATGTAATGTTATTATCGAGATTACTGCGACATGCACCCAACTTGGTATGCCAACTCGTTGGTTATAAAATATTGATAAACGTTTTCTAAAGATAAATAAATGGCCGGAGAGCATAAATTCAAGTAAAGTTGACGTAATTTATCACTTTTTTACGTAATATCCACTGCAGCTTTTGTTACTTATTAAAATATAGGTAAAGGTCAATTTCAATAGAATAGAGAAATCATTTGCAATTTAGTCAAGATTGCGAGAAACGTTAAGAAACTATTCGTTAACCCGAGATGATAACAGAAAATTGTTTTTTTTTTTTATAAACCGGTTAGAAATATCTATAATAGTTCGAGTGTGATCGGCGTCAATGCGTATTCTGGAATTTTCATTAGGTGAGGATGTAAAAAGTGATTAGTAAAATCACAAATAAATTATAGGATCGTTTTCTATACATACCTAACCACACAATGGGAATTTAATAACAAAAAACCAAAAACCGAAGAAGCAAACTTTTTTTTCAATAAATTTACATTTTTCTTATCACTTGGCTGTACTCATAATATGAAATTTCATAATAAATTACCAGAAAAAATATATATAGTTATGGCATTTGTGAGCTAATGTGAAAGATATAACCCTTCAACATATTCGTCTGCATACGCCGCTGGTAAGCACTCTCAACGCAGTAGCTAAAAAGTAATTTTTTTAAGCCTTTTAAATATTTAAAAAATAAAATGGAATTAAAAACTGAGAGGATTAGGTACCAGTATGTCATTCAGCTCAACATCGATAATCGAGGACTGAAGAAGATTGAGATAATTGTATGTAAATAGTTCCAATAAAAGATCTGTACTATCACGTTCTTTGATGTTTGTAGTTTTATAATCAAAAAACAATACCTAACGCTCCTCCGATTAAGAATTTAAATGGGATAATCGAATTTAGTGTGGGTACAAAAGAAGTCGATTTCTTTTCTCGGAATGAAATGTATGGAAATTATTTATGGAACGGAAGTAAGTCCGATTAAAATTAAAAGGTAGACCGGAAATTTCTTGCAGCTCTCGACAGAGGAATTAAAACTACAATTAATAAATGTATACTATAAAAAAAAAAAATAATAAAAAAAAAGGTAAGATAATGAGGACGGTTGCAGTCACTGGTGTAGGTGGGAAGTTGGGAAAGTAGAATACAGATGGGAATTTAATGTATATCTGTAAGCAACGATAAAACATTGATTACGAAAATACGATTCTGAGCAGAGTTCAGTTGATAGTATTGCTTTGTCAACAATTTATATGTCATATTAAAGTAAAATAATTAAATAAGATCTATATATTTTTTTTAATAACATTTTATTTAATGTTATACCAATTTTCCCAGTTTTCCTAGGTATATCCCAGTTTTCCCATGTTTTATCCGGGAAGTTACATTTTTTGAGAAAAATCCGGAGAAAATTGAAAAACGACTTCTTTAAAGA